AGAAGGAACAAGAAGAGCTGTCCGTCTTCTGGCCCGTTCGCTCCGTACCCTTTTCGATTGTCCCGATTCTCGGCCCCCGCCCCCGCGCCATGGCCGCCACCTGTGGCGGTGGCTGGGCTGGCGCCGCCCTCAGCCGTCCGCAGCGGCCGCTGGCCGCCGCGCGCCAGGGCTGCTCGGCGGCGGTCCGCGCGGCGGGGGCTGGGCGCCGACGGTGGCCGCCCCGGCGACCCTTCCCCGAGGCGGCGGTGCTCCGCCGGGCCGCTGCCGCCGCTGCCGCCTCTGCCGTGGCTGCGTCGGCTGCGGGTGCCGACGCGGCCGTGGCGGCCGCCGTGGCACGGGCTGCTGCGCTGGCGTCCGCCGCCGCGGATGCGACCGCCGCGGCCGCTGCCTCGGCGGCGGCAGGCGCGACAGCGGTTGCGGCCGCCGCCGCGGCCGTTCCGTGGGCGGACGCTAGCAACCCCCTCGTGATCAATCCGACGGGCCTCAGCAGCACTGCCGTGGGCAACACGACGGACTTCAGCAGCCTCATCGTGCGCAGCACGTCGGATCCTGGCGGCATCATCGTGAGCAGCATGACGAGCTCCAGCATGACGGACTCCTGTAGGCAGCACGACAGACGCCAGGAGCAGCACGACGGACTCTTGCAACACCACCGTGAACTGCACGACGGGCTCCAGCAGCACCATCGTGAACAGCACACGTTGGCTGGCTTCGCGCACAGGTGGGAGGAACTGAAAGCCCTGTGCGAGCGCAATGTTTGCCATGACCTGAACGAGGGCGATGATGACAGCCTGTTCGAGGACGCGGTTGGCACCCAGCAGCAGGTGACTGAAGGTAGCGGTGCGCTGGCCGGCTTTGAGCACAGGCTGGAGGCCCTGAAGGCGCAAGCGCGAGGCTGGCCTGGACTGGGGCCAGGACAAGGAACACATTGAGCCTTGTCGAGGACGCGGACGGGCACACGTGGCAGGTGACCAGCACGGTGGCCAGCTTCGCGAGCGGGCTGGACGAGCAGGTGGGCTTGGCCCCCGTGGCGGGCGGCCGGGCCGAGGCAGAGGAGTACGAGGAGGGCGGCGCGAGCAGCGTCGTCGCCGACCCCCCCCCGCGGTGCATCCTGGCCGACGGGCTGCCTCGTCCACAAGTCCTGGCCACGAGCTCCCCATGCAGGCCACAGACTTCGGGCCGCGCCCGCCCTCGGCCCATCCTGGCCGACGGGGGGCCTAGACCACGAGCTGCGGCCCCGATCAGTGGCTCGTCCCATCCTGGCCAGGGCGTTCGAGCCGCGATCGAACACTGTGCCCCGGGGCGCGGAGGGGCCGCCGTGGTCCGCTGCCTCGAGTGGCTGCGCTGCGCCGCGCGGCGAGGGGGCGCAGGCCTGCTGCGCTCCCTGGACGCCCGAGGACACGCGGTTGCCTGCGCGCCGTCCTCGCTTCGGCCTGCCGCGAGCTCTCCCGCGGGCGGCCCGCAGGGCGAAGGGCCGGGCTCGCGGCCGGAGCCTCGGAGCTGGATGGATCCGCGATGGTGGCTTCGGCAGTTGGGGTCTCTCCGCCCAGGCCTTCGGCCGGACGTCGGAGCGGGGCCACGCGGCGGCGATCGATCCGCGTCTAGCGGATCCTGGGGCTGTCGGATCCGTGGCCCCGCGGCAGGTCGGGCGTCGGGCAGGTTTAGAGGAGGCGCAGGAGGCGCGACACTGCCCGCTCCAGCTCTGGGCCCAGCCCCGATTCGTGGCCCTGATGACGTCCCTGGGGGTCTAGCCGTGGTCTGTGGCAGCGCGTGTCTCCGTGCCACTCGCTCTGGCGACCCGCCCCCAGGTCGTGTTGAGGCAAAGGCGCCTTGCGCAGTCGATCTTGCCGAGGCTAGCGGCCGTGGTGACGTCCTGGGGCAACCGTGGCGCATGCCGCGGCTGGCGGCCCTGGTGGCGCTCGTGGTAAACCAGCCGTGGTTCGTGGCGGCGCGCCCCTCATCTCAGGCCTGGCCCCATGTCTCAAGGGAGGGAAAACCACCCAGACCCGATAATTGGCGTTTACTAAACGACCTCAAGTGTTTACTAAACAGCCCTGCCCTGTGCGATTCCTTCTTTGGGTGCGTTTACTAAACGGCCTCGCTTACCGGGGTGGTTCTTATGGGTGTGGACTTTTCATTTTCCAATGTCGGGACCGCTGAGCGCGCGGACGCGCCGGTCCCCACAGCTTGTCGCGGACTAGGTTCGTCTCGGGACCGTGGGGCCTCGGCGCGAATCAATGCCTGTGCTGTTGCTCGCTTGCCTGGCGCGCCTGGCGCCGCCGGCGCAGCTGCGAGCCGCGACCCTGATTCGCCAACGCGTTCTTTGGAGGCTGGGCCAGGCGAGGGCTTTGCAGGAGCACGAGAACTACGACGGGCGGCCCAGGGCGACGAGGGACAGGGAGGCGCGTGGCGCGAACTCGGATCCGCGGCGGCGGCGGTGGCTGGGGAGGCGGCCAGCGCCGCCGCCATGGCGTGTCGGCGGGCGCAGGGGCGGCGCGCGCCGCCTCAAGACGATGGCGACACCTCTGCGGAAGAGGCCTTGGCTGGGAACACCGGGCGCGGCGATCCCAGCGACCTCGACCCCGACCCTGCCCCCGACTCCTTTTCATTTGACGCCTGGCCCGGCGCCCTTCCGGCGACCATCGTGACGCCCTGCCCGATGGTGACGCCAAGGACGACAGTGTCACCCAAACGCCTTCCCCCGCGCTCCTTCTAGCAGCCTGGCCACTTCGTGGCTTCCTTACTTGCGGCCTGCCGAGCCCCTGGTCAATGCTTCTCGGGGGGGGGGTCCTGGAGACCGACGGGATTACCTTTGACACTTGCCCGCGCGTGCTCCAGAACTCCGAAGCCTCTCCAGCACCCCGCAATGTCGGACGCCGCGCCTCCCGCGCCGCGGGCAGCCCTGCTGCCAGAGCGCACCTATCTGAGGCGGTTGACGGTAGCGGAGCGGGAAGGGTGGTGAGTTCTCGTTGTTGCGAGGGCGACGCGCTGTACAGACGGCCTCGTCGACAGATTTGGTGGGGCCCCTGGCAGGCGAGACGCCGAACGATTGCGTGAAGCACCTTCACCACGAGGCAGGGCCCAGCTTCACCAGCGGGCGGCGCGCCTTTTGCGCGACGTAGCGCGGCGCTGCCTTGGCGCCTCCGCGGAGGGTGGGAAGGCGGCGGGCTCGACGGCGCCCCCGAGACAGTCGCTCACCACCCACCAAACCACCCCCAACTCAACCCGAAGGCCTCAATTGGCCCTCCATTCCCAGTGGTGGTGGGGGGGGGTCGGGGAACACCTGAAGTTCGGGTCTTCGGGTCTTCGGGTCTTCGAGTTGGGTCGGGGTGGTCTGGTAGGCAGCCACTTGACGACGTTGACGACGGCGTCGCCCCGGCGGGCGCCAAGGGGCGGGGCTCCGGTGGCTGCGGGCCGGGGCAGCTCGGAGGTGGGCGGCCCTGCCGTTCGGCGCGCCGGGGCGAGCGCTCGCGTGCAGCTGGCGCGCTGGCGCGGCTTGGGGGGGGGGGGCAGGCCGACGGGTCTGCCCCTCCGTTTGTTGAGTCTGTTGTGTGTGTGTGTGTGTGTTTGTGTGTGTTATGTTTAAGTCGGGCGTGTTGTGTGTGTGTGTGTGTGTGTGTGTGCGTGTGTGTATTTGTGTGTGTGTGTGTGTGTGTGTTATGCTTATGTCGGGCGTGCCCCTTCCGAGGCAGGAATGTATCCATAGCCACCGCCTGGAGGCTCAGTTTTGGGAGCCTCGGCAGGCGGTGGATATGGGCATATTCGGGCCCCCGGGGGCCGAAATATATCCATATCCACCGCCCGCTGGGGCACCAGTACGTCGGTTCCCAGGCGGTGGATATGGATCAATCCCCGCCTCGCATCCCTCTACAGGATGAGTTTTCAAAAATAATGGTGCAATGTCCAACAGCAGTTCCTGTTCATTTTGAACGGGACTCGCTGTCCGCGCCGCCGCGGCCTGTGTGCATTTGGGACAGGGGGCCGCCTGCCCAACAGCGGCCGCTGGTGTTCTGGGGCAACATGTGCTGTTGGGCATTGTACCCATGTCTTCCGGACCCATTTCGGGCGTCCAAAGCCGATCGGATCATCTTACGACCAACAGAAACGCACGGGATCGGACGATGCACGGGGAATGGACGTCCGGGCGATGGCGAGTGCCGTTTCTCGGCAGGTCTGGCGTCTTCCCCTCGTCGTCCTCCGCGGCCGCCTCTCTTGTTTGTCCACCTTTTTCTCCCAGAACAGTGCTTGCACTGAAGGGGTCCTCGCGGAGATTGAAGATTTTAGGGGGCCACATGTGAACCCTACCCCTACCCTCTACGATTTCTGAGGGGGAGGGTGGGGTTCAC